GAGTAATGTATATGCCAATTTTATGATGGTCCGACCGCATTCTGTCCCCTATCAACACTTCTTAAACTGTTGGTGCCAACGAGAATGACATAAGAAAGAAGTCAAGACGACTAGCTTGATTGAGTCTCCGCCATGTATATCTCACTAGGTCAGGATATGTAAGCCTCCATATATCTACTAGTTCTAATGTATCCATGACATTCATGATTTCCTTAAGAGCATGAGGGTGATAGTTTGTTGTGTGATTTCCTTTACGGTCCATTGAGCTATTTAAAACAGTATTATAATCTCCCACCATAATAATAGAGTATTGTATTGCTTGCAGGGTTGATAATTTATTATATATATTTTAAAAGAGGCGTGGATCATTATTATTTGGTCCGTAAAGGTTAATGAGCCATATCTGTTTATGGTCCAATAACATATTTAAAATCATCCATCTACCTTGCAGATCTGTTTGGACCATTTGCACATTCGGATCGAAATTACTGTTAATTAATATCATCACCCCTTTTGAGTTTCTTTGCCGATTGGAGAAGTATATTTCACCCCCCCATTCCTTTTCCCACGCAACTTCATCTAGAATTGTTGAATGAATTTCCTGTAAACAATAGATATTATATTCCTTCTCTTTGAGCCAGGTAAATATTATTATTATTTTGTTATTTGCTAAAGCCTATTAGTCTAAGAGCTGTTTGAAAAAAGACCGCCTTAAATTTCAGCCTTTTTTGGTGGGATGGATTTTTAGCCATCCATGGTGACATCACTATGTGGTAAATTAGTTAATAGACCAATAAGAAAGAGAGTTCCAAACCATTCTGCCAATAACAGCAAATTGTCCGTTTCCCCCTCCCCTACTCAGACCACCCCCAGGCAGTCCTAGCAAAGTTCTTGCTTGAGAAATTGCTCTTTGGTAAGAAGCTATTTTTGTTTCTTTTTGACCATTTTAATTGTTAACAATCACTGTAAGATATTTAATTGTTACCCAGAAATGATTTGATATTGATATAAAATGGTCTGCATTGGACCTTTAAATACACAAAACTTCATGAATATATACATGACCAGCAGTGTTGGGGAAGCTACTCTGAAAATATAGTTTACCCAGCTACCAATTACTTTACACTGGAAGAAGTTAAGCTACATTAAAGCTACACTTAACAAAAAATATAGTTTACTTAACTAAAGTTACTTTGAAAAACTACTTCACTAAATCCAAACTACTTTTAGTGAAAAAATATCATATTTAAATCTGAAATTTCATAGAATACAAATGGCAAGAACAGTAGTCAGATGTCAACACACTGTGTAATTTATCCTATTAAACACAAAAACGATGTTTCAAGTGAGAATCAGGTCTGATGACGAAAAAGAAAGGAAATGATTGCCTATTTCACCCATATTTTATTTTTGCAAAAAAGTAGTGTGTAGTTCCAGTAGTTATGTACACTGCTACATGGCAAAAAAAATAAAGTAATAAACTACTGAAAATACAACCAAAGATTTGATTTTAATTCAACTACCACTCAGCTACTGCAAAATGTAGTTTAGTTACTAATTGAACTACATGTAGTTCACTACTCCTCAACACTGATGACTAGGGCCTACATAACCTGTTTAACCCAGGTTAGACCTTCCTCATCACTCATTCATTAAGTCCTAACTTGATGTATCGTAGCTCTGTCGTAGCTCTGTCGTAGCTCTGTCGTAGCTCTGTCGTAGCTGGCCGCGACCGGGAGACCCATGGGGCGGCGCACAATTGGCCCAGCGTCGTCCAGGGTAGGGGAGGGAATGGCCGGCAGGGATGTAGCTCAGTTGGTAGAGCATGGTGTTTTCAACGCCAGGGTTGTGGGTTCGATTCCCACGGGGGGCCAGTATGAAAAAATATATAAATAGAAAATGTATGCACTCACTAACTGTAAGTCGCTCTGGATAAGAGTGTCTGCTAAAAAATGACAAAAAAAAAAAGTTTTGTTTCTCCCTTACTCAGCCTACACTATAATGTAAATATAAGACTTTCAACTTGGCATACTTAATTGCCTGCTAATGGACCATCAATGGTTAATGGGCCTTCCCATTGAATTCTGACTTGTGAGGTTGGTAGGTGTAGAGCCTGAATTAGTCTTAGGTGTAGAGCAGTGGTCAACCAACCGGTCCATCCCCATCTTCAAGGTATTCCTAGTGGATCACCAAACATATACACTACCAGTCAAAAGTTTGGACATTAGGAAGATTTTTACAGTTAGGATGTTTTAATTTTTGATAGAATGTTTACAAGTATATCTTTTGTGATTTTTAGGTATTGACAGAATTTCTAATTGTATGTATTAGCTACATTTGTATAATGTCAAGAAAATGTAACATATCAGTTTGGAATGTGTTTCTCATTTTTATATTTCATTTAAAAAAAATGTCTTTTTACAATGATTATTTTTCAGTAATGTTACCGTACTGCTAATGGTTTCCCCATAGCACAATAAGACCAACTTTATAACCACCTCTATGTCTAATTTGATTGTTGATTAGTTCATATGTACATTGTGACCATGTAATATTGTAAATGTAAATGACCAAAAAAAATGAATACAAAACTGACATCAAAACAAATTCAAGTAGGTATGCCTTGTTTCATACTAGTTTGACTGAGACAGTGGTATAGTGGTATAGTGAGGTGGTATAGTGAGCTGTCTGTTTAAACGACTAGCACACAGCTCGGACACCCATGCATACCCCACAAGACATGCCACCAGAGGTCTCTTCACAGTCCGAAAGTCCAGAACAGACTATGGGAGACGCACAGTACTACATAGAGCCATGACTACATGGAACTCTATTCCACATCAGGTAACTGATGCAAACAGTAGAATCAGATTTGAAAAAACAATAAAAATACACATTTATGTAACAGCGGGGACTGTGAAGCAACACAAACATAGGCACAGACACATGCACACACACACATGATAACATACAAACTTTACACACACGTACACATGGATTTTGTGTTGTAGATATGTGGTAGTGGAGTAGGGGCCTGAGGGCACACACTTGGTGTGTTGTGAAATCTGTTATGAATGTATTGTAATGTTTTTAAAATTGTATAACTGCCTTAATTTTGCCGGACCCATAATAAATACAAATACAAATATCCCGCCTCTCAAATCATTCACAAGTGACACCATTGACTGGCATCAATATGTCTTCAAATAAATACAGATTAACAGTACAGCTGATTTAACTTCCATCAGATTGTAATAATACCATTTGATGGGCGATAAGTCACCTGTATTGTAAAAATTAATTTTGTAAACGACAGGCATTTTTTCTGAATTGTGTAAAACACTCAAAGTGTAAATCAATTTGATTCTGAGTCCAATATGGCTAACAATATGGCTAACATGATAACACTTAAACACCTTCACCTGCATATAAATTGCCCTTACTTCTTTTGTATTGAGTTATTGTGTCTTTAAAGGTCCAATGCAGGCGTTTTTTATCTCAATATTAAATCATATGGCAGCCATATTGGATTTTAAACGCCATATTGGATTTGAGGCAAAACCAGGGTGGCCCCAAAGATAATCTGTGGTGCCCCCCTGAATTAATTACAAGATGTAATTTCGATGTCTAGAGCCCACTTGCTTTCCTTAGAGCAGATTAAAATAGTCAGAACATTAAAATGCATGTGTAACTGTATGGATTGTTGTCATGCATGACCATACAACACTGAATGAGAGCAACTTTAACTCGTAAAGTGTCTACTAATCAGTTACAAAAAAAGTAAAGCTTACATTTATCATAAATATTCAGTTGATTGTATCTCTGGGTTTATCGTATAGCCTATTGCATCTCTATGTTTACAGGTCTATGTTTACAGGTCTATGTTTACAGGTCTATGTTTACAGGTCTATATTTACAGGTCTATGTTTACAGGTCTATCTTTACAGGTCTATGTTTACATGTCTATATTTACAGGTCTATCTTTACATGTCTATGTTTACAGGTCTATATTTACAGGTCTATGTTTACAGGTCTATCTTTACAGGTCTATGTTTACAGGTCTATGTTTACAGGTTTATCTTTACAGGTCTATGTTTACAGGTCTATGTTTACAGGTATATGTTTACAGGTCTATATTTACAGGTCTATGTTTACAGGTCTATATTTACAGGTCTATCTTTACAGGTCTATGTTTACAGGTCTATATTTACAGGTCTATGTTTACAGGTCTATCTTTACAGGTCTATGTTTACAGGTCTATGTTTACAGGTCTATGTTTACAGGTCTATGTTTACTGGTCTATGTTTACAGGTCTATGTTTACAGGTCTATCTTTACAGGTCTATGTTTACAGGTCTATGTTTACAGGTCTATCTTTACAGGTCTATGTTTACAGGACTATGTTTCCTAAATGCATTAAGATATCCTTATTAAGAAACGCCGGCAGAAATATATCCTAATGCTGTTTGTTTGTGCATGTAGAGAAAACAACTGACTTCATGTCTTCCAAATTGTAACAATATCAGAGCTCATGTGGCCCATCCCCTACTGCAGACAGGAATTCTGCACTTTTTGAGTTAAAGGAGTGTCACAACAACTATAAATATTACCACTTTTGCAGTAAAATATTTTAAATACAACCATCTAGTTCATAAATGAAAGACATTATAGATGTGAAAAAAACATGGTCGTGTTTTGTTATACCTCGGGTAGGGGTACCTCAAAATGTTGGGGGCATTACTACTAGCCTAAAGATATACAAGGACCTTGAGCATTCCCTCCAGTGGAAAACAGTTTTTTGGAGAGGGGTTTATATATTTATTTTATTTTAGTATTATTAGCTAATCACATCTTTTTAGTATCTAAGGCTATAAACACGACCAATGCAAAGTGTCCATTCTATGTAAATAGTCTTCCAGGATAGACTCAGGTACTACTAACATGGTAAAAACGTTGTTTTTTCTTAACGTTCTCTGTCTCAGAAGAAAAAGTCAATTGCTCAGCTGTATCGCATTAATTTTTATTTTACATTTAACACATTTGTTGACATCCAAATCAATAACATAGGTAGGGTTGTGTTCTCTAAAAACACTGGTCTGAAAATGAGCTGGCTACACAATGACATTCAGTCACTAGTTTGCACATTGATTTATTGATTGGTTGTTTGATTGATTGATCGGTGATTCAGCGTGTTTGATTATGGAGTAAATCCAGAGTAAAAAGGGCATCCAGTCGGAGTTCTTCTGTTAAAGGAAAGAAAAACACAAATGAAAAGAGTCAGCCATGCGTACATCATATCCACTTAATATGGGTTCATATGTAGATCAGCAGCAGAGTAGACAGGACTCACCGATGGAGGCAGGCAGGAAGTGTCAGCAGCCGACCCAGAGCATCATTACCCTGTAGGGGCTGAGGTAGGATACAGTCAGAGGGTGTGTCTCTACAGTCTACAGTGTCTTCCTCCTCTCCTCTCCTCTCCTCTTCCCTCTCCCTCTCCCCTTCTCCTCTCCCTCTCCCCTCTCCTCTGCCTCTCCTCTCGCCTCCTCGTCCTCCCTCTCTTGGCCCACCTCCTCTTCCCCCTCTATCCCATCCCACCTGACATCCCTTCCCCCCCTATACCTCCCCCCTTCTTTTCATTCCCTTACCTTTTCTCCTACGTAAAACTAATAGCTTCTCTCCCACTACTCCCCCATAGACCCCCACATTTTTTTTTCCCTTTATCTCACCCCTCCTTTTTCCTCCTCCAACTTTCCTCCTCTCTTAAATCCTCCTATCCCTCTCCCCATTCTCTCTTTTCTTTCCTTCCACTTCCCATCTCCTCTCTCCTCTCCTCGGGCCTCTCCTCCTTCCCTCTTCTCCCAATTTCATTAAACCTCATAGGCGGGGCCCAACCCTTTCCCCCGCCCCCTCCCAACCCCAAATCCCAATTTTTCACCCCACCCCGAGTTTCTCCCTCATTCTCCTTCCTTATCTTCCTGTTTCCCCCTTTCTGTTCACGTCGTTGATAGCTGTTTGTACAATCACAGCCTCCGCCGGTTTAGGAAAACCTCCTTAAATTAGGTTCCGTAGCAGGGGTCCCCGAAGACCGCGTCATTCCCCACAGTGCACTGACTCTTTCCCTCACACCTGCAGAGTTACACATTTATAATACAGTTATAACACACATGCACACACAGGGGGGGATATTTGTATAAAATCTTTCAACACCAGAGACATCCCCAAACTAGAGAGGAGAGATGGGGAGACGGATAGAGAGGGAGAGTGTACCATTGTTTGACCACATCCAGGGTTTTGGGTTGCAGACAGTTCTGGTTGCTGAGCTCGTGGCGTCCAGCAGAACAGGTAGAGCCATCTCTACGGCCGTAGTTAGCGTGAAACACCTGTATCACACCCTTACCTACACACACACAAACATTTAATTGCAGCCTTACCTACACAGGGGGAGGGGTATTATGGTGTTTGCAGGTGTAATCATGTGCTCACCACAGTCCAGGGAGCTGGTAGAGTGCTCACAGGTGATACTGGTCTCTGAAAACACAACACACACAACACTGCTGCTGAGATAATGGATGAGGACAAGGAGGAGGAGCAAGAAAGAGAGGTGGAGGAAAAATCAAAGAGAGGTGGGAGGAGAAATCAAAGAGGAGAAATCAAAGAGAAGTGGGAGGAGTAATCAAAGAGAGGTGGGAGGAGAAATCAAAGAGGAGAAATCAAAGAGAGGTGGGAGGAGTAATCAAAGAGAGGTGGGAGGAGTAATCAAAGAGAGGTGGGAGGGAGTAATCAAAGAGAGGTGGGAGGAGTAATCAAAGAGAGGTGGGAGGAGCAATCAAAGAGAGGTGGGAGGAGCAATCAAAGAGAGGTGGGAGGAGCAATCAAAGAGAGGTGGGAGGAGCAATCAAAGAGAGGTGGGAGGAGCAATCAAAGAGAGGTGAGAGGGAAGGACAGATTGTGACTAGACCGTTTGGGGCTCCATTCATGAAAAAGTGTTGACTACTTTGTATCATGCACAAGCACATTTCACTTGACTAGTTGTTCACTTGACACCACGTACAGGTTGTTGTCCACTGTTCAAGCACAACATTGATGTCCGAAGTGGAATGGCAGTGGACAACAACCTGTCCATGGTATCAAGTGAACGAAAAGCCCATTGGACAGAAGAGGGAGAGCGTCAGAGGAAGAATACTGACTAGCAGGCAGGCAGGCGTAGGTGACATCCAGGTACTTGTAGGTTCCGTAACAAGGGTCAGAGATCTGAGTCTCTCTCATGTTCACCTCACACACCTGCTTCCCGTCACACCTGAAACAACCACAGAGCAACACCAGTAGAAGCATAACAAAACCACCACACAACTCCAACATACCCTATAAAAACGGCTATCTGGTTCTCGTCTGAGTGGTTGTCCTTTTCCAAGCTCTCACAGTCTCTCTGCAAAATTAGCTGTTTGTTCACATTTCTCCAAACGTCAAGTTTTGAAGTTGCTTTAAACGGAAGCCTACTTGATGGTAAAAACGCTCACCGTTGCCCCTAGTGACGACATGGGTTAAGTTAAGGATTTAGGCATATCAGGGTTTAGGCACACAGAAACAACTCTACGGTTTAGTTAAGGCATTCATTCCGACTAGATTAAGTTGAACAGGGATACAGAAACAATTCTAGGATTAATTTAAGGCATTCATTCCGATTGGTTAAATTAAGGACTAAGGTTTGAGATAGGGTTAACTTCAGGCATTCATTCTGATTGGTTAAATTAAGGTTAAAACCGAAAAAGGACTACACTGTTAAGTTTTGCGATTTATTAAGACTTGACAACAGCAGTCTGTTATATAGACCGGGGATCTAGCTCCAGGTACTTGTGTTGTTTGGACCCTAGTGGACAGTTTTGACGGAGTCTCCCGACCTCCTGAGGACATTCAAAAATGTCACATTTCTACTTGAATCTGGAGTGATCTCCCTGGATTTGATTTGAATCTGGAGTGATCTCCCTGGATTTGACTTGGATCTGGAGTGATTTGACTTGGATCTGGAGTGATTTGACTTGGATCTGGAGCGATTTGACTTGGATCTGGAGCGATTTGACTTGGATCTGGAGCGATTTGACTTGGATCTGGAGCGATTTGACTTGGATCTGGAGCGATTTGACTTGGATCTGCGCACTATAGTGTGTGTGTACCTCTGTGACCACAGTGCCAGAGTTCCTTCCTGGGAACACTTTGTGTTAGTCAGCTGACTCTGAGGTCGTCCCTGACTGCAGGTCTGGCTGTCTGTGCGTCCATACAGTGCTTCCTGAAGAAAGATCACCCCATCTCCTATGAGAGAGAGCGAGAGAGGGGGAGAGGAGGAGGAGAGGAGGAGGAGGAGGAGGAGGAGGAGGAGGAGAAGGAGGAGGAGGAGGAGGAGGAGGAGGAGGAGGAGGAGGAGGAGGATGAGAGACTCAAGAGATAACTCAACTAAGTAACTGATTGACACAGAGAGTGTTGTTTCTTACCACATTCCAAATGCACCACACCGCCACCCTCACAGGTAGTCACTTTCTCTGTAGAGGACAAAAATCTGATTGATACAAACACATCACACATACGTCAAATAGAGAAAAAGACTCAGCATATTTCTGTGTGTGTGTGTGTAGGCTACTCACTGGTCTCAAGGCAGCCATAGGTAACGTCCAGGTACATATGAGTCAGGTGTGCGGAGTTACAGAGGTCACACACACTGCCGGAGGTCGCCACCTCACACTTCCCTTTTCCGTCACACCTGGATGAGCAGTAATAATGTCACAAACCTAAAACAGCTTGGACACTGTCCTTACTTAGTTTTTAAAAAACATTATGTTTTTTCTCTCAATTTCCCCTGTCTCTGTGTTATCAGTTTTAGGACCACTTTCTTTTTCAGTGCAGCTCAGTTTTGCTGTGAAGCTGTTCTTGATAAGATTCCCCTCTGGCTGAACTAACATAGGGAGTGTGTCACAGTTGAGTGTAGAAGTGGTGTGGAATCAAGCGCAGGACACACAGAGGCTTGGTACTGACGTCTTTAGTGAAGACAAAAAAGGAACAAGCCAAACACGGCTACATACAACCTGGCAGGCAAGCACACCGGTAAAGTACATACAAAGGCACAAAAGTGCGGAGCTCTCTACTACACCGAACAGAGAGACAAAAATGAACTATTATCCCACAGTGACAACGAACAATTACACACAACACATGACAAAACTCAAGAGAACTTATAGGACGCATAATTAACACTAACAAGGAACAGGTGTAACAAAACAGACAAAACCAATCAAACATCGAAACATAGAACGGTGGCAGCTAGTACTCCGGAGACGACGACCGCCGAAGCCTGCCCGAACAAGGAGAAGGAGCAGCCTCGGCCGAAACCGTGACAGAGTGGTTACATACAGTGCATTCGGAAAGTATTCAGATCCCTTGACTTTTTCCACATTTTATTACTTTACAGCATTATACTAAAACGAATTAAATTGTTTTTTTTCCCCTCATCAATCAACATACAATACCACATAATGACAAAGCCAAAACAGGTTTTTAGTCGTTTTTGCAAAAAAAAAAAAAAAAAAAGGAAATATCACATTTACATAAGTATTCAGACCCTTTACTCAGTACTTTGTTGAAACACCTTTGGCAGCGATTACAGCCTCGAGTCTTCTTGGGTATGACGCTACAAGCTTGGCACACCTGTATTTGGGGAGTTTCTCCCATTCTTCTCTGCAGATCCTCTTAAGCTCTGTCAGGTTGGATGGGGAGCGTTGCTGCACAGCTATTCCAGTCCGGGCTCTGGCTGGGCCACTCAAGGACATTCAGAGACTTGTCCCAAAGCCACTCCTGCATTGTCTTGGCTGTGTACTTAGGGTTGTTGTCCTGTTGGAAGGTGAACCTTTGCCCCAGTCTGAGGTCCTGAGCGCTCTAGAGCAGATTTTCATCAAGGATCTCTCTGTACTTTGCTTTGCTCATCTTTCCCTCGATCCTGGCTAGCCTCTCAGTGCCTGCCGCTGAAAAACATCCCCACAGCATGATGCTGCCACCACCATGCTTCACCGTAGGGATGGTGCCAGGTTTCCTCCAGCCGTGACGCTTGGCATTCAGGCCAAAGAGTTCTATCTTGGGTTCATCAGACCAGAGAATCTTGTTTCTCATGGTCTGAGAATCCTTTAGGTGCCTTTTGGCAAACCCCAAGCGGGCTGTCATGTGCCTTTTACTGAGGAGTGGCTTCTGTCTGGCCACTCTACCATAAAGGCCTGATTGGGGGAGTGCTGCAGAGATGGTTGCCCTTCTGGAAGGTTCTCCCATCTCCACAGAGGAACTCTGGAGCTCTGTCAGAGTGACCATCGGGCCTTCTCCCCCGATTGATCAGTTTGGCCGGGCGGCCAGCTCTAGGAAGAGTCTAGGTGGTTCCAAACTTCTTCCATTTTAGAATGATGGAGGCCACTGTGTTCTTGGGGACCTTCAATGCTGCAGACATTGTTTTGGTACCCTTCCCCAGATCTGTGCCTCGACACAAAGGGTGTCTCAGAGCTCTATGGACAATTCCTTCGACCTCATTGCTTGGTTTTTGCTCTGACATACACTGTTAACTGTGGTACCTTATATACACTACCAGTCAAAAGTTTTAGAACACCTACTCATTCCAGGTTTTTCTATATTTTTACTATTTTCTACATTGTAGAATAATAGTGAAGACATCAAAACTATGAAATAACACATATGGAATCACGTAGTAACCAAAAATTGTTAAACCAATCAAAATATGTTTTATATTTGAGATTCTTCAAAAAGCCACCCTTTGCATTGATGACAGCTTTGCACAATCGTGTTGGTGGTCATAGGGCTGGTGTTGGTGGTGTTGGTGGTGTTAGTGGTGTTGGTGTTCATAGGGCTTCTGTTGGTGTTGGTGGTTTGTGGTGTGGGGTATAGTGGGTGTTGTGGTGTTGGTGGTCATAGGGCTGGTGTTGGTGTTCATAGGGCTTCTGTTGGTGGTGTTGGGGGTCATAGGGCTGGTGTTGGCGGTGTTGGGGTCATATGGGCTGTGTGTTGGTGGTGTTGGTGTTCATAGGTTCTTCGTGTTGGTGGTGTTGGTGGTCATTGGCTTGTTTTGGTGTTTTGGTGTTGTTCATAGGGCTTTGTGTTTGTGGTGGTTTGGTGGTCTGGGCTGGTGTTTGGTGGTGTTGTGTCATAGGTGGTGTTTGGTGGTCATAGGGGCTGGGTTGGTGGTGTTGGTGGTGGTTGGTGGGTTTGGTGGTCACGGGCTGGTTTTGGTGGTGTTGTGGTCATATGGCTGGGTTGTGGTGGTGTTGTGGTTGTTGCTGGTGTTGGTGGTGTTGCTGGTCATAGGGCTGGTGTTGGTGGTGTTGGTGGTGTTGGTGGTGTTGGTGGTCATAGGGCTGGTGTTGGTGGTGTTGGTGGTGTTGGTGGTCATATGGCTTGGTGGTTTTGTGTGTGTTTTGGTGGTGTTTTGTGTGGTGTTGGTGGTGTTTGGTGGGTCCTAGGGCTGGTTGTTGGTTGTGTTGTGGTGTTGGCTGGTGTGGTGGTGTTGCTGGTGTTGGTGGTGTTGGTGGTGTTGCTGGTGTTGCTGTTGTATGTTTGCAAGGTCAGAATGGAAGGGCAAGTCTGTTGTGGCAATGAATGGAAATGCAAAAGTGTCTGAAGTGTCTCTTAATATGCTTAAAATAAAGACTGAGATTTTAGGTTGTTATTGATAATTTTTTTAACCCACTTTATAATGTAATAATCAATGCGCAAAAGCGTTATTACGTTACACGTTCAGCATTTTTATTACATTATCAGTTGCTACAAGGTCTATCACTTTCACCGAACACAATTAAAGTTAACATAGGCCCTAGATGCCTTCAACTGCCCAACTTATAGGCATGCTCAATTTAGACGTGTTTTTTAACAACGTGATATTGCACTCCAAATGGATAACTTGAAATAACATGATGTAGGTTAATGAAATAATCTAAAGAAAAAGTTGATATTATTTATTAGCCTAGTGGTTGTAAGTGTTTAGGCACATCATGTGAATTAGGCTTATGTGAAATCATTGTTAAAAGCACAAGATATACTGTTGCATGTAGGTCTAGATTATTTATGGATTGATCATACAGAAATATCAAAATATTATTTTAACAACTCCAAAGCAATTCCCTGTCTATATGAAGACACCTGCTGGTAACTCTGAACTGGTCAGGTCAGCTCATGAGGTCTCCTAAATATCTGTCCACTAGGTAGGACTCATATCACTAAAGAGGTTTAATGCCTAGCTTGTTTTTTTACCCATCAGAGGAGGAGTAAAATATTTATATTCTCAGCACTTACCACCAACTTTCTACTCTGAGACGCTTTGTTGATACGGGCTCTGGATTAGGAAACAATGGGCCTAGAAGGAGTTCAGATACGGGCCTTGATTACTTTAAAACTGCTGGAAACATGCCAACAGGACACTGAAGTTGGGAAATAAACTATGTTGTAAGCAGAACATTGCAAATATTATACATTCAGCGAGCTTGCTATTGACTGAAGTTGTGTGCTTTCTGTGTGCGTGTGTGTGTGTGTGTGTGTGTGTGTGTGTGCGCGCGTTTGTGTGTGTGTGTGTACAGACCTCTTAGACACACCGTTGAAGGCCTCTGTATCGGAGCAGGCTTTAGGGGTCTCTTTTGATGCCAACCCCTCAGTGGTGCAGAATTTGACCTCATATACCCTGATCACACCGTAATCTAGACACACACACATACACACAAAACGTGTGTTTAACAATTGCTAAACCATATGAGGCCAGTTTCCTCGACTAAAATTAAGAGAATCTCCATTGAAAGTGCTTTTTATTCCAGGAAACTGCCCTGTAAAAAAAACTCTGTGCACAGGTGAAGATATACTAGGAGCTGAAGGTTCTGATGGAACACAGGAGTTACTTTACCACACTGGAGTTACTTTACCACACTGGAGTTACTTTACCACACTGGAGTTACTTTACCACACTGGAGTTACTTTACCACACTGGAGTTACTTTACCACACTGAAGTTACTTTACCACACTGGAGTTACTTTACCACACTGGAGTTACTTTACCACACTGGAGTTACTTTACCACACTGGAGTTACTTTACCACACTGGAGTTACTTTACCACACTGGAGTTACTTTACCACACTGGAGGCTGGGATCACCACACGTCAGGAAACTGCGTTGACTCTCTGACGTTCCATAACCTGGAAAAGGAAAAAAATCATAATATTTTACCTTTTATTCTCTGTCACTTCGATGAGTCTTTTCTGCCTCGAGCTAAACATGCCATCAGTAACCAGATGATTAGACTCACCCAGACAGAGGCTGGCCTGCAGCACTGGAAGAACAGACAAGATAATATCATCTTTAAAAATGTGTCCTTTTGCTGGTAAAAACGACATACACACATAGGAGGAGCCCCCTGGAGCAGCGCCCCCTGGAGCAGGTTAGGGGTTGAGAGGAGAAGTGAGGAAAAGGATGAAAAAACAAAGAGAAATGAGAAAACAGACGAGGAGAGGAAAGACTTACCGGTGATTAAAATGGATTGTCCAAGGAGCATTCTGTCTACTTTATCAGGGATCTCTATAGGGTGAGACAGCTTCTGAGTGTCTGACTGTGTTGACTGGCGTTGCCCACGTAGTGAGATATTTATAAGAGTTGAAGGCATGAGCTGTTACCGGAACATATTGCCTCTTTCCTCTGTTGACCAATCCCCCCCCCCCACACACACACACACATACACACACGTAACTTCAGTCAATATAGCGTGAGGACGAAATCCTGGATCTAGTCCTGGATGCTTATCGGTTGAAAGAGTATTCCAGACGTTATCTATTTCACAACTACCCACGGCTATGACAGCCTATTTACTGTTCTATCTGAGAAATCACTGTGCATCCACTGTCCCATTAGCCCAGCCAGGCGATTCATAAATATAATCTCCACTGTAAAAAACAACAACATTATAGACATTATTTCCACTCGCTTTTAGACGAAACTATGACGACATGAAGTGGTGAAAAGTCCTTATTTTGTGACTGTATAGGATGGACAGAGAGATAGAGAGAGAGAGAGAGAGATAGAGAGAGAGAGAGAGAGGAGAGAGAGAGAGAGAGAGAGAGTAGGAGAGAGAAGAGAGAGAGAGAGGAGAGAGAAGAGAGAGAGAGAGAGAGAGAGAGACAGAGAGAGAGAGAGAAGGAGAGAGAGAGAGAGAGAGAGCGCATGCGCGACTATCTCACCTATCTCCCCCGCATCTCTCTCTCTCTCTCTTATCTCTCGCTCTCATCTCTCGATCTCTCTACTCTATATACTATATCCCCAAGGACGGTCCCCCCCAATCCCACCCCAAATTTGGGTGCCAAATTGTCCCCTTACTAACCGTGGTGGATATACATAAACAGCAACCTTGGGAAAATCCTCCGCATTGTCATTAACAGCAGACACGTACATTTCCTCAGTGAAAACAATGTACTGAGCAAATGTCAAATTGTATTTTTACCAAATTACCGTATGACAGACACGTATTCACCCTGCACATCCTACATTTACATTTACGTCATTTAGCAGACGCTCTTATCCAGAGCGACTTACAAATAGGTGCATTCACCTTATAGCCAGTGGGATAACCACTTAATAAATGTTGGTCTTGTAGCAGATGCGAGCTTCAACTGGAAGCCAAACAAACAAAAACAAACAAAACAAAGGCAAAGTCTTCTCATGCTTTGTTGATTTAAAAAAAGCTTTTGACTCAATTTGGCATGAGGGTCTGCTATACAAATTGATGGAAAGTGGTTTTGGGGGAAAAACATACGACATTATAAAATCCATGTACACAAACAACAAGTATGCTGTTAAAATTGGCAAAAGACACACACATTTATTTCCACAGGGCCGTGGGGTGAGACAGGGATGCAGCTTAAGCCCCACCCTCTTCAACATATATATCAACGAATTGGCTAGGGCACTAGAACAGTCTTTTTATTTTATTTTATTTCACCTTTATTTAACCAGGTAAGCCAGTTGAGAACAAGTTCTCATTTACAACTGCGACCTGGCCAAGATAAAGCAAAGCAGTGCGATAAAAACAACAACAACACAGAGTTACATATGGGGTAAAACAAAACGTACAGTCAATAACACAATAGAAACTCTATATACAGTTTGTGCAAATGTAGCAAGTTATGGAGGTAAGGCAATAAATAGGCCATAGTGCAAAATAATTACAATTTAATATTAACACTGGAGTGATAGATGTGCAGAAGAAGATGTGCAAATAGAGATACTGGGGTGCAAAAGAGCAAAATAAATAACAATATGGGGATGAGGTAGTTGGGTGGGGTAATTACAGATGGGCTGTGTACAGGTGCAGTGATCGGTAAGCTGCTCTGACAACTGATGCTTAAAGGTAGTGAGGAGATAAGTGTCTCCAGCTTCAGAGATTTTTGCAGTTCGTTCCAGTCATTTGCAGCAGAGAACTGGAAGGAATGCCGACTAAAGGAGGTGTTGGCTTTGGGAATGACCAGTGAGATATACCTGCTGGTATGCATACCACGGGTGGGTGTTGCTATGGTGACCAATGATCAAAGATAAGGCAGGGATTTGCCTAGCAGTGATTTATAGATGACCTGGAGCCAGTGGGTTTGGCGACGAATATGTAGTGAGAGCCAGCCAACGAGAGCGTACAGGTCACAATGGTGGGTAGTATATGGGGCTTTGGTGACAAAACGGATGGCACTGTGATAGACTACATCCAATTTGCTGAGTAGAGTGTTGGAAGCTATTTTGTAAATGACATCGCCGAAGTCAAGGATCGGTAGGATAGTCAGTTTTACGAGGGCATGTTTGGCAGCATGAGTGAAGGAGGCTTTGTTGCGAAATAGGAAGCCGATTCTAGATTTAACTTTGGATTGGAGATGCTTAATGTGAGTCTGGAAGGAGAGTTTACGGTCTAACCAGACACCCAGGTATTTGTAGTTGTCCACATATTCTAAGTCAGACCCGCGGAGAGAAGTGATTCTAGTCGGGCGGGCGAGTGCAAGCAGCGTTCAATTGAAGAGCATGCATTTAGTTTTACTAGCGTTTAAGAGCAGTTGGAGGCCACGGAAGGAGTGTTGTATGGCATTGAAGCTCGTTTGGAGGTTTGTTAACACAGTGTCCAATGAAGGGCCAGATGTATACAAAATGGTGTCGTCTGCGTAGAGGTGGATCTGAAAGTCACCAGCAGCAAGAGCAACATCATTGCTATACACAGAGAATAGAGTCTGCCTGAGAATTCACCCTGCAGTATGCAGCACCCAGCCTCACCCTACTAGAATCTGAAGTCAAATGTCTACTGTTTGCTGATGATCTGGTGCATCTGTCCCCAACCAAGGAGGGCCTACAGCAGCACCTAGATCTTCTGCACAGATTCTGTCAGACCTGGGCCCTGACAGTAAATCTCAGTAAGACAAAAATAATGGTGTTCCAAAAAAGGTCCAGTTGCCAGGACCACAAATACAAAATCTAGACACTGTTGCCCTAGAGCACACAAAATACTATACATACCTCGGCCTAAACATCAGCACCACAGGTAACTTCCAAAAAGCTGTGAACGATCTGAGAGACAAGGCAAGAAGAGCCTTCTATGCCATCAAAAGGAACATAAAATTCAACATACCAATTAGGATCTGGCTAAAAATACTTGAATCAGTTATAGAACCCATTGCCCTTTATGGTTGTGAGGTCTGGGGTCCGCTCACCAACCAAGAATTCACAAAAAGGGACAAACACCAAATTGAGACTGCATGCAGAATTCTGCAAAAAATATCCTCTGTGTACAACTTAAAACACCAAATAATGCACGCAGAGCAGAATTAGGCCGATACCCACTTATGGTCAAAATCCAGAAAAGAGCTGTTAAATTCTACAACCACCTAAAAGGAGGCAATTCCCAAACCTTCCATAACAAAGCCATCACCTACAGAGAGATTAACCTGGAGAAGAGTCCCCTAAGCAAGCTGGTCCTGGGGCTCAGTTCACAAACACAAACAGACCCCACAGAGCCCCAGGACAGCAACACATTTAGACCCAACCAAATCATGAGAAAACAAAAAGATAGTTACTTGACACATTGGAAAGAACAAACAAAAAAACAGAGCAAACTAGAATGCTATTTGGTCCTAAACAGAGAGTACACAGTGGCAGAATACCTGACCACTGTGACTGACCCAAACTTAAGGAAAGCTTTGACTATGTACAGACTCAGTGAGCATAGCCTTGCTATTGAGAAAGGCCACCGTAGGCAGACCTGGCTCTCAAGAGAAGACAGGCTATGTGCACACTGCCCACAAAATGAGGTGGAAACTGAGCTGCACTTCCTAACCTCCTGCCAAATGTATGACCATATTAGAGACACATATTTCCCTCAGATTACACAGACACACAAAGAATTAGAAAACAAATCCAATTTTGAAAAACTCCCTTATCTACTAGGTGAAATACCACAGTGTGCCATCACAGCTGCAAGATTTGTGACCTGTTGCCACAAGAAAAGGGCAACCAGTGAAGAACAAACACCATTGTAAATACAACCCATATTTATGTTGATTTATTTTCCCTTTTGTACTTTAACTATTTGGACATAGTTACAACACTGTATATATACATAATATGACATTTGAAATGTCTTTATTCTTTTGGAACTTTTGTGAGTGTAATGTTTACTGTTCATTTTTGTTTACTATCTACTTCACTTGCTTTAGCAATGTTAACATATGTTTCCCATGCCAATAAAGCCCTTAAATTGAATTGAGAGAGAGAGAGAGAGAGAGAGAGAGAGAGAGAGAGAGAAGAGGGGGGGGGGGGAGGGGGCAGAGACAGACAAAAGAGAGAATAGAAGAGAGAGAGAGATAGAGAGAGAGAGAGAGAGAGAGAGAGAGAAGAGCAGAGCAGCAGACGACAGACCACAGACGAGAGACAAGAGACGAGAGAGAGAGAGAGAGAGAGAGAAAGAGAGAGACAAGAGAGAGAGAGAGAGAGGAAGAGAGAGAGAGATAGAGAAGAGAAGAGAGAGAAGAGAGAGAGAGAGAGAGATCTCAGAGCTATGAGAGAGCTAAAGGTACCAGAGAGAGACTAGCGCATACGAGACTCGGCTCAATGTCGCTCTCTCTAGCTGCTACTCCGCTCTTGCACTCTTCTCTCTCTCTCTTCCCGCTTCTCTCTTCTCCCCTCATCCTCGCATCTCTCTGCTCGTCCGCCTCTCTCCTCGTCTCTCTCTCTCTCTCTTACTAGATCTGATGTTTTTTACTGTTTTCAACAGAACATTGTACAAGTGACAGCAACATGCTGAATTGTGAGTACAACTCAAATTTGAATATTAAAATTGAAAATACTAACTAAAAATATGTTACGATTTCTAACTAGATGACTAGGTGACTAACTTTAGCTAGCTTGCTAATGCTAGCTAGGCGAGTGGTGAGAGGTGAGAGGTGAGGGTTTGCTAAAAGGTTTAAGGTTAGGGGTAGGGGAAGGGTTAGCTAAAAGGGTTAAGGTTAGAGTTAGGTGAAGGATTTGCTAAAAGGGTTAAGGTTAGGTGTAGGGGAAGGGTTAGCTAAAGGGGTTAAGGTTAGGGTTAGGGGAAGGGTTAGCTAAAAGGGTTAAGGTTAGGGTTAGGTGAAGGATTAGCTAAAA